TGGGGTCTCTCAACGGTTCCCTCTCCTCCCTTCTCCTTTCGTATCCACCTATTCCTTTAAATTCAACCTGGCTGTTCTCTTATTCACATTCCTTTCTACCTCCATATTATCTATCCATTCCCCTTCTTGGTAGAGGCTCAAGGTGGGGTATTCCCTCCCCTTCTCCTATACTTTCCACCTCACCGTCTTCATTCAACATGGCATTTTCCTAATTTCCCCTTTAGTTTGAAACTCAAACTTCCACTTTTTCATCTCCTCTAGATTCTCAAACCTTTCTTCCATCACTAAAAAACACTGATTCAACGATCCTACGTCCATTTGTAGCTTCCTTACTTCCCCCTCCAACTTTTCTTCGAACGCCTCAACTCTTTTCCCGGCCATCGTTCTCAACAAAATTGCTATGATAACAATTTGTTAGGACTTGAACAACAAAAATCAGCGAACAAATAATAAATTTCAGCAAACCAAATATAATTTCTTGATAAGAAAGCAAATACGAACAAACAAGATACAATGGTCCTCTCTCGAGAGGACCTTCTCTCCCAAACTCTAGATGCCGCTAGAATCTTTCACAAAAATAGTTGACAACAAGAACGCTCACAAAATCTGCATGAAGAAAAATAATACTAACAAAAGGCCTAATATAGCTCTCCCTATTTTCTCCCCAAAACCTGAATTCACTCCATGTTTTTGTCCCACCTCCTTTGATAAGTGATCCACTCTTTTAATTCTCTCCCCTTTCCAACCCCTTTAATTCTCCTCTCTTTCCCCCACTCCTAGGCCCACATCCTTGATCTCCGGTCCATCAACTGCTTAAGGCTAATTGTGCCCACATGAACGCTTTGACTCATGCCATGCAAGAGCATAACCATTGCACAAGGGTTCCTGTACTCTTAGAGTTTACTCTTTGTAGCCTTCCCTATGCTTCAGAAGAGATTGTTTTTGTAATTTGAATTGGTGATCGCATTGTTACAATGGTGCTGGCATTGTCGTTGCACCCTATCTTAATTCATTCTGATGCCATGAGAAGGGTGAAGTGATATGTAATTGTGGAAACATTGGATGTAATTTGTTGAAGATGAAGTGTGTATACTTTTTGAATGATTTCTGATAGTTATATTTTATATCAGATTTAAAAATGGAAATCTATGGGCACAAATCATTACTTTAATTTATTGATAGTCAGGATATGTTGAATGACTAATGGAGTTCACTTTGCATAAATAGGTTTCGGATTAGTAGATGTGGGTGTGCACTGAGTATATAATATACAATTTTAGTGTGCAAAATTTATAATTGTCAGTTAGCATTGGCTTAAGAGATCAAGTGATACCTACGTCAAATTGGTTTAAATATATTGGACATTTTGTTCAGATGATGGAGATATAGATGTTATAATTCTAGAGATTAGGTTAGGTGATTAAAATGGAGTACCTTGGTTGTACAACGCAATAAGAAGATATAGACTAAAAGATAAATATTATTAAATTGCAATTAGACCAATAAAGTATATGATAATCAAATTGAAATTAGCAAAAATGTACATTTTAAGATGGATGCATGATAAAATTTGCAGGTGGCTGGGAAGAAATGGGAAGAGGGGATGAATAGTTGAACGATTTATCTAATTGGGAGGAAGAATCTTGGGTAAGGGAGTTTGGCAGGTGTTTGAGTATGAGCGTATTTCGCTGGTGGGCAATGGGATTGTATGAGATCATTCGATGGAAGCTACAACAAGTTCACGTGAAGGAGTTGAGGAGACTTGTGAGTGAGGGGGACGGAGAGGAAAGAGAGGTCGTAGATGCCTGCTATGCTGAGAATGGAGAAAAGGAGAAGAGAGCTGAGCTTTGATCTCTTGCACAGGAGGGAGAAGAGGCCGAGAGGTTTGTGGGGCTGCGTGAAGAGGGATTTCGAAAGAGGTGGGAGCTGGAATTGTGTGTTTGAGTGGGAGATGAGTAGCAGGTTGGATGGCGTGCTGTGGGAGGTCGAGTTAAGAGTGCTGGAGATGAATGGAGAAGAAAATGAGAGAGTGGTTGACTGAGGGAGGTTTTTGTGAGTGGGGGTATATTCCTCATTGCCATTCGACATGGATAGGGATTTGTGCGCCAAATTGCAAAGGGATAAGGTCGGCTAGGAGCATGTTTTGCACAAGGATAAAGGGTTGGAAATATAAGATTTAGGTTATGATTTTTTGTTATATCTATAAATATATATAATAATATAAGCAGAGGTGGATCAACATTATCATGCAATTTTCTTCTCCCTCATGCATCTCGATTTGCGTGTTATCTTCTTGAAACTCAGGTCAATTTCACGTTTTCGCATCGTGTGGTGACCCGAGCAATTTTGTATCCATTTTGGATATTTTGACGTTCTGGATGCAACGGTGAAGTCCGTTTTACGATTAAACGATATTTGGGCAATGCCGAGTAGCATTTCCTCTGTAGTCTGTCGTTTTCGACTGCCCTCACTCGATTTGATCATGAGAGGGTCCTTGGGAAATTTTGATGTTTTGAGCTCAATGACAAGTCTGTTTTGCAATCAGACGACGTTTGGGCAACATCAAGTAACATTCGGGTTCATAGTTCGTCAATTTTGATCTCTTTTGCTCAAATCGAACATTGTCATCAAGTTTTTATCCCAATATGTGGGGTCAATTACATGAATCTTTTTTTAATTGTGTCATATTAAGAGTCAAATTCTTATTTAAATCTAATAAAAAAAGCTAATTTCTATCACTTTCTAACCCAAGTCTTTTTTATGTCGACCTCTACCTCTCTTAATACAGGCCAAATCTAATACATCTACTCTCCTAACCGGGTCTCAGAAGGTTGACATTTTATGTGATCAAACCATCTAAGATAACTCTTTGTAATCTTATCTATCATTGGAGCTACTCCAACCTTTTCACATATATACTCGTTTTGCATTCTATCTTTGAGTGTAAAGTCATTCATGCGCTTGAGCATCCTCATCTCTGCAACACTTAATTTTATGCTTCTATTTTAAATGCCATCATTCTGCCCCATAAAGTATTGCAGGTCTCACCACCATCTTATAGAATTTTTCCTTAAGTTTGAGGGGTACTTTACTATATCACACAACAGGTTTGATACATTCCTCCCTTTCAACCATCCAACTTGAATTCTACTAATAATATCACCATCTATTTCACTATCACTTTAAACAATAGACCTGAGATATCTATTCTTGAGTGGAAAAGTTTCCATTATTAACTTGATGCTTATTTGGATCCCTCTATGCTACTTCTTTAGGATTCCTAATTACGTTGAATAAAGGATTGATGGTCTTATAAGGATTTTTTTTTTCATGAAGATGTCTTCATGGATATTTGCAGATGCAATGATAAATATGGTCTTGGTATTAAAAGCTTGTGTGTGCTAAATATTTTTCTCTTAATTAATGCATATAGAAATATTTTTATCCTAACAAAGAATCCTTTGCTAGCATATTGTTCGGGATAAAATATTTTATCTGATTTTTTTTTAATAGTTTGTGGTCGCCTCAATTTTATAAGCAGAGTTAGTAAAACTATTCACTCTCTTCTTTCAGGATTTCTTTAAAAAATCTACAATAGTAAAAGCATCAACTTTTGGAAAGATATATGGTTGAATAAATTCTCTCCTGCCACTCAATTCAACAATTTATTCACATTCGCTAGGAATAATAACAACTTTAACTTTATTGCTTCTTAATATATTCCCGAGGTCAAATGACATTCTATGGAAGGGAATTATTACATTTCCTTTAAACAATAGGAAGAAATTTCCTTACTCTTTCATTATTCATATTACTTTTGATTTCAATCATGATATACCTATTTTTCTTAGTCAATTGATGATTGCAATTTGATCATATCTTTCTATTCATTCATGATGGATAGGGATGTTTAATATGCCTAGGATATTGCATTTGAAATTCTATTATTCCCTCAAATTGCAGTACTTGTTTGGATTATTTACTAGAGAAATTTCTACCAATATCTATTTGTTTAATGATTGTATCACCCAATCAACCAAATGTGATATGTGTTAAGGAAATTTTGGAAGATGATTTTCATGTCTTCTCATGATGCCATATTATTTCCAAATATAATATTTTTTTGGAATTAGATCTCTTGTAGATAAATTGAATTCTCTTTTCACCACTTGGAGGATTAACTTCAAAGAATACTTCTAAGAGCTATGGGATGTTTTCTTTTCTTTGATTTTCATCATTTGGATTGAAAGGAAAGATAAATGCCTCTGTAACAAGAAAAAGGAGAATGTCCTTGGCTTGAAATCATCAATTTTGTTTATTTCTAGATCAACTATGCTAAAGGGAAAAAGCTTTCAAAAATAGGGAGCAGATTCTACTACCGATTAGACCGTTAGAGCTTCTCTCTAGTACCATTTGAGTTTTATTTGGTTTCTCTCTTTTGTTCCAGTTTTGTTTTTGTTTTACTTTGATCATGTTTGAATATTTGTAATTTTTATTATTAATGGTATGGGTTCACCCAGCTTTTCTTTTTTTAAAAAAATTATTGTGCAATAAGATTTTCATAAAATGAATCTAAACTTCATTTCACACAATAGGGTTTTATGGAGAGAGGAATCATACAACCAACTCCAATTTGCTAGATTTAGGCTAATGATGATGATTATAGTCCATATGTATTTGCTAATACAAGGTGCTTAAATTTTGGTGGAAACTGACGAGTTTGTGAGTGTTTTAGGATGTTGTTAAGCTAATAAAGGGACATGTCAATGCATTGTACTCTGTAAGAAGCATGAAAAATTAATGCAATGTTTTATCGGACTACTTTGACTGATGAAAAATTGTGTTTATTCTTGCATTTGCATGCATTGAATCTTCCTCTTTCTAATGGTAATTTTTGTACCTATAAGAGCCGAACTTGTGTTATTGATCTGTTTCATCTTAATTCTTTTTATATTTCTTGTTCCGTGAATCTCATTGTTTTAGTGTGCTATCACACCCAGGAGCACCAACGCCACAATATATCAGTGGATACATGGCAACAAGTGTTAGCCTTTAGTAGATGTGTAAATGAAGATCTTGATGGTTATGATCCGAAAGGTAGTCCATGATTTTTCTGTGGGGTTGCATCATATGAAATTTTCCAATCTTATATTTCGTTTAAGAAATTACTTTCACATTGAGGGTATCTTATCATTTTATTCGTCATGCAGGTGCTTGGCCTGTGCTCATTGATGATTTTGTTGAGCATATGTACAGGTTTGCCTCCTTATATGGGTTGTTATAACGCATTAGTAATTTATACAGTTGTACAATTAGTACAACTATTGTTAGGCTGTATCTTTTGTACTCTCCTTAATGTGGTTACGAGGTGCCCAAATGAAATTTCTATGTTAGTATTGAGTTTAATGTAGGTTGATAATTCATTGCTAAAAATAATCCTGGGATTTGTTTTTGAAAAAAATTGAAAAATATATTTAAAATATAACATCCAATTTGAAAATTGAAGTATGTGTCGGTATGGGGTATTGTCTAAAAGCACTTTTGACCATAGTAAAGTCTATTTTTAATTGACTTTTTAAAGTCATTAAATTGATTTTGTTGAAGTGATTGTAATTATTGTCTTGATCATTTTCATAATTCTAACTTTCATTTCTTTTTCATTGTTATTTTAAAAGACCATAACCAAGCAACACCTAAGGTTTCTCTAAAGTAGTGATTAGCTTTAAGAATATTTTCTCGAGCACAATTGCTTGTTCAGGGCTACCTCAGCACCTGCTACAATCTTCGCTAATACTTTTTCATAATTCTAATACATTTTCATATGTCTAACTTTCATTTATTTTGCATTGTGATAGAAAGTCGATACACTTTTTCTCGAAATTAACGAACAACAATAAGACATTAGGAAGAAAAAACATAGCAAAACTATTTTTATTACAAGATATATGAAAGAAAATAGCAAGATACAGTTGGATCACAATTCGAGGGGAAGACCCGACTCTGCCAAATCTCTAGCTTCTGGCTAGAGCCCAAATAACATAGGAAATTCTAATTTCAACAAACTCCAAACATATTCCTGAAATCATCCTATTGTTAGGCTTAAATAGGCTCCATAATTCCCTTCCAAATCAGCCCCCTTTTCCTAAATATCTCTCTCAAATTTGAATTCAAATTAGATTTATTTCTCTGATTAATTTCCTCTCAATCATAATTAAAACTTTCCTAAATAATCTCCCCTAATTCCTCTTCTTCCCTAAATAATTTTCTCTTAGATTCTGAATTCAAATTAGATCTTTTGCCCTAAATAATTTCTTTCCAATTGTAATTAAAACATTCCTAAACAATTCCCCTTTGATTAAGAACCTTCCTAAATAGTTCCCTCTGAATTAGGAAATTTTCTTATTCACTCCTAATCAAATCGACCAGTCTATCAATGCTCTCCTCCCAAAGTGTCACCTTGTCCGCAAGGTGGAACAAAGGAAACTGTTGTTTAAGCACTGAACTAATAGCACTAGACTGAAAAATGGACTATCACTAGATCGAGTGATTCCTGCCTCCAGCATCTCCTTGATCAATCTCTCCATCTCATCCTCGTGAAGTTGGGGAGAATGGTACAGAAGAACACTGATATGTGAGACTTTGTCCTTCCAAAGATAGCATGCTTGTGTTCCCGCGGAGGAAGCAACCCATGAACTGGCTGGAACACTTCTCGATATTACTGTAAGAGTGGTTGAACCATGTTTAGTGCTTATATCTTCTCCCCATCTTCTTTTTCTTTCAAACTACGCAGTTTCACCAAAAATCTTACTCCATCATTTCCCCTCGGAAGTGATTCCAAAGATGACCTTTCCTCTTCTTCCCCAAAAATTTTCACCTCCTGATTCTCCCTTATTATCCCTAATATCCCTATATTAGGGTTTTTTTTTTTCATTTGCTTGTCCGGTTGATGTAAGCAAAACATATAGGGAGCCTATATTTTTTGCTTAACAAAAAAAGACGACGGACTTCTACGGACGAAAACGACTAAAGAGAAGGAAGAGGGACGAGAACAATAGGGAAGAACAAACTCTTACATTTCAATTTAAACTAAACAAGAAAAAAAAACTATGACGACGACTTACAAACAACACGACAGACACCCTAAAGTTGCTGCACTTTGAGAAGAAGGATACAGGTGGAGCGGCACTTGCGGAGAGACGAAAGAGATTAGAAGCCCGAGAAGAAATGGTGGAAAGTGCCCGCAGGATTTCCGGAGGGGATGAGAAAACTAGACTCAAGGGAAGCCAAAATATGATTTATTTTGGACTAGTGTTGACCCCCCCTTTGTCTACATCACTGGTCAACGATGCTCTTACCTTTGATGTTATCAGTTTGGTTTGGCCCTCAAGAATCTTCTATATCATCTACTGTATGATGGCAAATTTCTTATCGATCTTCTCATGGATGGATGAAAATAGCTTTTTGAAACCTCAAATTCTTACAAAATCATATTGAAATATTGTTTGATATCCCATTCCAACATTTCTACCTTTCTTCCCTCCATAGGTACCCAGATTGTGCTCTGATACGAATTTGATAGGAAGTGGATGCACTTGTTCTCGAAATTAGCAAACGAAAATAAAAATTAGGAAAAAAACCACACCAAAATTATTTTTTATTGCAAGATATATGAAAGAAAATAGCAAAATACAGTTGGATCTTCAATTCGAGAGGAAGATTTGGCTATCCCAAATCCCTAGCTGTCAGCTAGAGCCTAAATATCCTAGGAAATTCTAATTTAAGCAAACTTCAAACCAATGTTTAAAATTGAGTATTCGGGTATTGAGGCGTTTTTCATTCGTGAGGTGAGGAATAAGCCTCAAGGCGTTTTGAGGCGTAAGCCTCAAAATCAAAAGATTGCGTAAACATAAAATGATAAATTTTTTATATACTAATGAGTGAATAATATAAAACATAAAAAAGCATAAGATATGAAGTGAGATCAAAATATCTCTCAATAATAAGACAACATGAAATATAGTTCAACTCAAAATTCTATCTTTTCCCAAATCTCAGTATTCTTTTCATTAGCATATAATTCCAATTTTCAAAAATAAATAGCAATGACATATCACATAAGAACTCATAAGTTATCAGCAGTGTCATCACTAAGGGGTTCTTCATTTGAATCATCATTATGGTGAACTGCTCTCTCCCTTTCTTCCTCTCCTATAAAGTCCAATGTCGGGCATTTACTTCAACATTTATGTAAGTTTTAATATATATAGCGTGAGGCATAAGCCTTATGCCAGTGAGTTGAAGCAGGCCTCAACCAAGTTGAGGCCCAAGCCTCATAAAAAAAACTCAAGGTGTAAGCATCGAGGCGTTTTTTACTAAAATTGCACAAAGGCGGGCCTCAAGGCGAGCCTCATATTGCGCAATTTTAAACCATGCTTCAAATATAATCCTGAAATCATCCTATTGCTAGGCTTAAATATGCTTCCATAATTCCCTCCCAAATCAGCCCCCTTTTCCTAAATAACTCTCTCTCAAATTTGAATTCAAATTAGATTTAATTCCCTCCCAATCATAATTAAAACTTTCATAAATAATCCCCCCTAATTCCTCCTCTTTCCTAAATAATTTTCTCTTAGATTTTGAATTCAAATTAGATCTCTTGACCTAAATAATTCATTCCTAATTGTAATCAAAATATTCCTAAACAATTTCCCTTTGATTAAGAACCTTCCTAAATAGTTCCCTCTTAATTAGGAAACTTTCTTAATCCCTCCCTATCAAATCGGCCGGTCTATCACATTGTTATTTTAAAAACCATAACTAATCAACACCCAAGGTTTCTCCTAGGTGGTGATTAGCTTTAAGAATGTTTTCACACGCACAATTGTCTTTGTAGAGCTACCTTCGCACCTGCTACACACCTCTTTAATAGTTTTTAATAATATGCTTTATTGTTCCAGGCTTTATTCGTTCTGGTAATCAACTTTAAGACTATAGTTCTCTATTGCTAATTTTTTTGTTAAAAGCATGGGATGTTAAGTGAGTGTCATATTATTAAACGGACATATTTTATGAAAAATATAATACTAGTAGAAACTGCTGATGTTTGCTATAGTTTACTGAAAATACATGATATTCTAACTAAATATCTCACCTAATGTAAGCCTTTTTTGAGTATGGGCGCCTAAAACAAGTCTAATATGCAATGTGGATGTAAATTAATCAAACAATGCAAAAAAGTTTGCTTTTCGTTGTGATCCTAAACTTTTTGAGGCCCTTGAATTTAGATCTGCACATAGGAGATCACATGCAATTTGGGTGCTAGAAGATGATTGGTTGCTCGGTTGCTCCTTTGAAGAAGGGCTCGATTTTAACCTCTTCCTTGAAGGCTTAGTTGGCCTTCTTGTACGCTCATTTTTTTAAGCTCCTAATGTAAATAAATTTAAAAAAAAAACTTATGGGTTTAAGGTTTTGAGATAATGGCCTTCTTTAAAAAAATTGGGCTTGAGTTGGACTGCCACCTTCTTGGTTTGTTGATGGGGTTGAATCAAAGGTGAACTCCTTGTCAAACATGCTTTGGGATAGGTATCCTAAGAATATACCTCAAATGAATCTCGATTAGTTTAATTATATAAAGTGCAATTGAAAGAAAATTGGATATATGTAAAGTTTTCATCTTAAGTCTTCGGATGATCAGAATTTAAGCCTTTCAAAATTTGGAGTAGTTCCAGTGGCTGATAAGATTAGAGAGAGTCGCCTTAGATGGTTTGGTCATATAAAACGTCGGCCTTCTGATGACCCGGTTAGGAGAGAAGATGTATTAGATTAGGCCTATGTTAGGAAAGGTAGAGGTAGGACCTAAAAAGACTTGATTAGAAATGACATTTTTTATTAGATTTAAGTGAGAATTAGACTGTTAACATGACACAATGAAAAAAAAAGAAGATTCATGTAGCCGATCTAACGAAGTGGGATGAAGGTAATAGGAAGTAGATACAATTTTCTCGAAATCAGTGAACAACAATAAGAAATTAGGAAGAACACACCTAAGCTATTTTTATTGCAAGATAAATGAAAGAAAATAACAAGATACAGTTGGATCTTCAATTTGAGAGGAAGATATGGCTCTTCCAAATCCCTAGCTATTGGCTAGAGCCCAAATAACCTAAAAATAAATTAAATTCAGCGAACTCCCAAAACATTCTCTGAAATCACCCTATTGTTAGCCTTAAATAGGCTCCCTTAATTCCCTCCCAAATCAGTCTCCTTTTTTCTAAATAATTCCCTCTTAGATTTGAATTCAAATTAGATTTATTTCCCTAATTAATTTTCTCTCAATTGTAATTAAAACTTTTCTAAACAATCCCCACTTAGTTTCTCCTTTTCTCTAAATAATTCCCTCTTAGATTTTGAATTCAAATTAGATCTCTTGCTTAAAAAATTTCATCATAATTATAATTTAAACATTCCTAAATAATTTAACTTTGATTAAGAACCTTCCTAAATAGCTTCCTCTAGATTAGGAAACTTCTTGATTCCCTCCCAATTAAATTGTTCGGTCCATCATAAGGCTTGATGTTATTGTTGTTGTTGTAAAAGTTGTACTTTTATGGGTTGAAGACCTCACTTAAATTGTCAATTTTGCAAATGGAATGCTATACTTCCCTTTATGATGTCCATAAGTGACTTGCAAAAGTTGCTAATGAAGAGAGAAGATGATTGGCTTAGGGAGTGCGAAATGGATCCATTTATGTTAAAAAAGATTTGTGCTACTTAATCCCTTATGATGGTGTTGACCGAAGAATTGTTCTTTAATCAAAATTTTAACCAATAACGAGGAGGGAGTGCAAGTTTTTTAAAAAGCCAAATCTTACACTTAGATAAGGAGATATTCTTTTTTCTCTGAATTTTTCAGGTCTCAAACGTACGAAATAATAAATTTCTAGAGAAGCATGATTTGCCCATCCAAAAGTAAATTTCATCAAGTCATAAAAGTTGTTTTCATGCGTGTCGAATACACTATTTATAAGCTTCATGGAATACTCTTTGTGAATAGAATTACTTTGAGAATAGAGGCCTTGCTGGAAACCCATCGACCAAAATTTGCCATTCAAAATCATAAACAATAGCAAAGTATAGAAGCCCTTGATGAGTAGGATAAAGTCGTAGCCATAGGAACAAGATTTTAAAGATGCAAAAGCAAATTAAGAACAATTAAAAGAACTGGAAAAAGATAACGGTGTTCTGCCTGTATGCATCTCACATGATACCTAATCTATAATTTCAACACCATGCAGCCTACTTACAAATTACTCTGTAAAAATATTGCAGTATCAATCAATCTAACAGTAGCAGCAGAGAGTTTTACCGCAGTTGCAGTGACATGCAAGCTGAACCTGGCATACCAAGCACTTTTCGTGGTATCCAATTCCTCAGGAACATTGTTTTAGCATTAATTAACAAATTCGGTGATTCTAAGAGTCTCAACATGATTTGTTCTTCTTGCAGGATTGGCTCTACTTCCTGGATCCAAGAGGAAGCTTTTTTCTGACAGTGATAGAGTTCACAAGGAAGCAGAAGAGTCCTTGATCGATAAATCGCACTTGGCATGCCTAAGATTCAAGAGATTGAAACAGAGCTTTGGTCTCAGAAGACGAGGACGTCGGGACTCAAACATGGCTACAGCTCTGGCTGATACAACAGAAGACATGGCTAAACATGGCTCTCTTGCTTGCCTGAAAACTTCTGCATGTGCTGTGGAAGACGGCTTAGCTAAAGTCTTTGAAGGGCAACTGCTAATAGGCTGCTGTTTCCAGTTTGAACATAAGGGTTCCTACACTTGACTTTCCCACATAAGTTCGGTTCAAACTCTGCAATATTTGAGTCTCTACTTGATATATATATATATATATATATATTTGGGTCTTTATAATCATTGTTATTTTTTATTTGTAAGACTGCTTTAAAGCTGAGCTGGTTTGCAACTTGATAATAATAATTTGTTCATTTTTAGTTTCTTCACTTTGTTCAATTCTTCTTTGTTTGTTTCGTCTTCGGTTAATTCGTTCATACAACCTTTACTTTGTTTATTTTATAATTTGTAGCCTGGATTTGTACGATGGATATTTAGTCTTTCTATGCTTTTGGAATATTGTATCCTGATGGTAGTTGATTTAAATCATATAGGAACTGTGGTATAAGTTCGGGTGCTGATTCTGCGAAAGTCTTCCATGGAACGCATTGACAAACGATCAGTGATACCATCCATATTAGACTCGTTGCCCGCCATTGCTGATTGATGGGTAACTATTATATCATTTCATCTCTCATCTTCTCCTCTCTATATATATAACTCATATTAATTTAGTATATGTTCAAAGATTTTCTTTAATTAATTTAGTATATGTTGATCTCTATAACTATTTGGAGGTTGACTCAATCAAATATGATGAAGACGCGATGTGTGAATATTGCTCTGAATGTGTCAACAAAAAATCAAATTATCCGAACAAGGTCTGTCTGCGAAATGGATTGCGTTGGCACAATAAAGACTAAACCCTAATAGCTAAAATAGATAATCATTTTCCCTGGAGTCTCTGTGCGATTGAAAGCGGAATTTTTTTTGCATAGACAAGGTGACATGACATCCATTTTTGAGAGTGATGAGATTTTTGTCCCAAAAAAAAAAAAAAATCAATACATCGATTATTATTATTATTTTAAAAATGAATAAAACAAATATAAAGAAATAAATTTCTTGTTACCGTTGCCCGATATCCTCTTCCCGTCGCTCGAGTATGCGACCTACACTATCATTCATACCCCTTCAATCATGCACGGTCCTCCTCATTTACCTTCCATTCCTCATTTGCTCGATCTCCCTCTCGCCATCTTGTCTACAACACTTACGTTGTAACCCGCCTGAGCCCGCAAGCTCAAGCTCATCTCTACCTTATTTGCCAGCCACCCAACCTGCACATGCTGTCTAGCCGCTATTCCAAAGCGTCATCAACAGTCTCCTTTCCCCTCCTCTTCCTCCAACAATCTAGCCTAGGACGTAACCTGTTACAACCCAATCTGATAATAATAATAAATTGATCATATCTTATCATGTTGAGCTGTAACAGCCTAACATGTGAAACTTAAGATCTAAGTTTTAATTTTTTTTTAGAAATTCTTTCGAAAAGTAAAGTACTAAAAATAAGCTTATCCACAAAAAATTCTCTTTTTATCTATCGTAAAAAATACATATACAATCATAATGTATAGCTATAAATAAAAGTTATATAACATAGTAATAAAAATTAGTCATAACTGTACAAAAATCAGTAGCAGTTATAGACTCAAATCAGTTTCTTGAGATTGCTATTCAAATAACCTTCTTTCCTTTTCAGAACCCTGAAAATATAATGCAAAATAATGGTAACCTAAAAAAGCTCAGTAGGTTATAAATACCGATCTAAAATTTTAAATATTTTTCTTATTAAACACGTTCCAAAATTATCAAATACAATATAAGAATTCACTATGCTGAGGAAATCATAATAGCATAGCCGTTATCCAAATATTTAAATAAAATAGTGATAAATTGAATAGATTGAAATTTCATATGAATTTTATTTTACATAATAGAGTTAGCATATTTTTTCAGTCCTTATTAGAATATAAAATTTATGACTCCTTATTTCCCAACAGACATTTCCACCTCTTTTGGACAAAATCCAAGATTTTAGTCTCTTATGACTCCCATTAAATAAAATTCTAGAGAGTTCAATATTCCTTATATTATATAGAATCCAAAGTATTTTGACCCCTTATATCTCCCAGCAGATATTTTTCACATCAAAATTCGTATAAATTATCCCCATTTTTCAATAATAAAAATATAAATTTAATTAGAAAATTCAAGAAATCTCTATATTTTTAAAAATTGAGATAGACATTGTGTGATATACCTTGATCCGAACAACTCTTTAAATTTGGCCGACAATAGAAAATGACTCAAAGTTGCTCAAATCATATTTTTTCTCTCTAGGATCTTTCCCTTTCCCTCTTTAAGTCAGTTGCCTCAAATGAAATGAATCGAATGAATAGTGGTTTGAGATATTTTAAAATAATCAAATTTTCTCAGTATATCTTCTAGCAGATATTTTTCACATCAAAATTCGTATAAATTAATAAATATAATACATAATTCATTTCAATATAAAAGTTAAATCATATAGGAACATAGTGGAAAATCTCCCAATTTGCTATAACGGTGGGCAACATAACACACTAATGAGTGAAAATATATTATTTCAAAACTTCATCAAATTATCAAATATCATGCATAACATTGTTTCAAGAATTTAATTGCACTACACTATTTTATTGGTTCAGGATTATTTTATGTCCAATTAAAAAGGTGCACATTTGAGAATAAATGGTGTAAAATTTTCAAGAAATATTCAAAGTATTCAGAATCTCAATCTCTATGATATACAAAAAGTTACAGGATAAAAATTTTAATGGTATAAAGTTATCCCCATTTTTCAATAATAAAAATATAAATTTAATTAGAAAATTCAAGAAATCTCTATATATTTTTAAAAATTGAGATAGACATTGTGTGATATACCTTGATCCGAACAACTCTTTAAATTTGGCCGACAATAGAAAATGACTCAAAGTTGCTCAAATCATATTTTTTCTCTCTAGGATCTTTCCCTTTCCCTCTTTAAGTCAGTTGCCTCAAATGAAATGAATCGAATGAATAGTGGTTTGAGATATTTTAAAATAATCAAATTTTCTCAGGCACCACAATGCCACGCATTACTGGCCATGACGCTCTTTAGAAAACCCACAACACTGCTACACCCACCGTGTGTTGGAGCACCAAATTAAATGCAAATTTTCTCGAGACTCATGCTGGGGTGCTGTTAAACCCAACGTCACAACACCCCAAGGGAAAAATTCGAATTTCATAAACATGTAAACAACCTCGAGACCCATTCTGGAATACATGCAGGCTTTCTCATACATACCAAGCATTCCCATGCACATACACAAGAGTTCAAAATATAAACATTCAAGAAATTACATCATTTTAATCGGGTCAAAATAGTTTGAACTAAATATTGAATCTGGAGGTATCACAATTCTCCCCTCCTCAGAAAAGTGTCATCCTTAATATTTCAAAACTCGGACTCAAAATCACAAAAATAGATTTAGATACATCTATCTCATCTCATACTCTTTCTACCAAGTAGAATATCTTTCAGTTATATTCTTTCATTGAATTTTAACCATTGGAATATGCTTGTTTCTTAACGCTCTAACATCATAAGCCACAATCCTCTTTAGTTCTTCTCTATATCTCAAGTTTAAATGAACCTCAACTTCTTCAATAGACACGTGGTTTCCAGAGTAAGATGTCCATTTTCTCAGAAGCGATACATGGAATGTATTATGAAGTTCTGACATATGATTTGACAACTGTAACTGATAGGCATATTTACCAATTATTTCAATAATTTCAAAAGGTCTAAAATACATTTTATCATGCTCAAAATTTAAATGAAAATAATTCTTTCTTTTTTCTTTTATTAGACAACAATCAGAACTATCTAATTTCATTTAATATAAAATATAAACTAGCAATAACAATCATTCTGTTGATCAAAACATCAATCTTCATCTGCATTCATTTCTCTAAAAATTATATATAATACTCCGGAATCATAAAAATATAGCACATCATCCAATCCTGAGTATAGAAGAATAACTAAAATAAAAGAAGAAAAATTTGAGAAATCCTTATCAATCTTACACTCATGATCCTCTGCCTTGACATGAAATTATTGCTAAAAAGTCCAGTATGTCATTTAATCCTACAATTGAACTCAAATTATGATAAAGAAGCAGTATGTATGTTGTTTGTTAATTTATAACATTAGTAATTATTATGATCATGAATATGTGCAGTGCAGAAATGGTAACATCCATTAAACAGTAGAACGATACCAGTAAACAAGTAAATCGATAAACTAATAAATCAGTGACTTAGTACAGATATTGAATAGAATAAACAATGGGGAAATCATGTATATCATAATAAAAAATATCTAGAAAACTATCAAAATTCATAAATGTGTAGCACAATCAAATCAGTATACATATGAAGTCCAATTATTATATATCACTATCCAATTACTATCTTATATCATGTGCTCGATATCACTTAGTATGGAGATCACTTGCTCATCATTAGTAGATTAGTAAATAGTGAATCAATAGTAGTAACAATGATAGTGAATCAGTAGGAGTAACAATAATATTATCAATGTCCATAAAATATGGTAGTATAATAGTAAAATAATATGGTAGTAGCAGTGTAGTAATAGAAAATAAGTGCAATAATTATCACGTCGAATAGTAATAATGAATTAGTAACATGAATTTCAATAATTATACTCAACATTATTTAATAAGTAAGGAGTTTTGGCTATCACGATATTTTTTAGTATTTAGAAATTAGTAGTTGGTAACTATTGGCTCAATAAATAGAGTCGTCACTCCAACCTCGTTGGCACAGTAATAACTCTTTATAACTCATAATTGTTATATCATTGTATCATGTGAATCACTAGAGTATAGCACCAAACCATTATATTTAAATAAAAGCCCGTCAACCCACTATCTTATAAAAATCTATCAATCTTCAACTAACGGATCAACCAATCTTCACTTATTTCACACGCGCGCGCACACACACATTATTATAAAAGTAATAATGGCTAGCTATTACCCAATCAAATACATATTTTCATTCTCAATACTTACAATATGCTTTTATCATATATTAAATTATATTATGAGAAAATCAAATAAAATAGCATAACTTTTATTTCATCGGTAAAATTTCAAAATCAATTAGTCAAATTGTTCAGGATATTCAGTGCTATAACATATAAAAAGTTGTACGATCAAAGCTCAATAAATCTGGAACAATTATTACGTCCTTTGACCGAATGGTTTAATAGGTTCGGCCACCAATAAATTCAGTCCACGTAGCAGCCCGACGACCCGACCCAAACCCGCGGTTTTTTGGAGTTTTGACGTTTTTTTTTCGCTTAAATGGGCGGGAAAACTTTAAAAGACGCGGGTATATAAACTCCTGGCCGATTATCTTCACTGTACACAGAACGTTATACAGTGTTTAGGGTTATCGAAACTTTCGAATAGCTTTGCACGAGATGGATTCGAAGGAACCAACTCTGGGAACTCCTACTTTGGAAGAGAAAAAGAAGAAGGCTTGTGT